TCTGCCCCACCCCCCATTAGCGCTCTCTCTCTCTCAAATAAAATCATAAAAAAAACCTCTTTAAAGACAACTGAATTCAGACATTCAGAATGTAACATTCCAATATAATATTCAAAATAGCCAGCATCCAATAAAAATTCATGCACATACAAAAAGGCAGGATACCTGACCTATGATCAGGAAAAATTATCAGTCAACAGAAACAGATCTAGAAATATATGATGGAATTATCAAAGACTTCAAAAGGGTTATTAATATAAGAATTTTTTTTTAAAATCATGAACAGAATGAGAAATGTAAAATATAAAAAAGAACCAAATGAAACTTAACTTCCAGAGTGGAGAAATTCATTATTTAAAATGACAATTTCACCGCATGGTCTTAAAAGCAGGTTAAACTGTGCAAAAGACTGAAGGCAACAGAACCTAATCCAACTGAAGGACAGTGAGAAAAGGCCTGGAAAAAAAGAGATTCTACAGGACACTATCAGGAAGTCAGAGAGATAAAACTAGTCTCAGGATAGGGAAGAAAAATATTTGATGGAAACAGCTAAATTTTTCTAAACTTGATAAAATACATAAACCCACAACTCAAAGGATCAACAACAAATATGAAGCAATATAAACAGGAAAATACTAAGAAAAATAGTGTCAAGACACATCTTAAAGATTTTATTTATTTATGAGATAGAGAGAGCAAGCAGGGGAAGAGCAGAGGGAGAGACAAGCAGACTGTGCTGAGCGCTGAGCCCCATACAGGGCTCAATCCCACGACCCTGAGATCAGGACCTGAGCCAAAATCAAGAGTCGGATGCTTGATTGACTGGCCCACCCAGGCGCCCCTGACACAACTTAATCAACTTCTTAGCAGAAATAATAGAAGGTAGTAGAATGAAATATTTAAAGTGCTGTGGAAAAAAAATAAAAGTAAAATCAACCAAGAACTCTATAAATGAAGATAAAAGATATATTCCAGATAAACAAAACTGAGAATTCATTGCTAGCAGACCTTAACTAGAAGAAATATGTCTACCATGCAAACACTCAGCAAAAGAAAGCTGGAAGGCTATCTTAACAGCCAAGATGTCCATTGACAGATGAATGGATAAAGAAGATGTGGTGTATACATATATGTGTGTGTGTATATATATATATACACACACACATATACATACAATGGAATATTATGCAGCCATCAAAAGGAATGATAGCTTGCCATTTGCAACGATGTGGATGGAACTGGAAGATATTGTGCTGAGCGAAATAAGTCAAACAGAGAAAGATGTGTCATATGACCTCACTGATAGGAATTCTTAGTCTCAGGAAACAAACTGACGGTTGCGGGAGTGGAGGGGGGTGGGAGAGATGGGGTGATAGACATTGGGGAGGGTATGTGCTATCGTGAGCGCTGTGAATTGTTTACGACTGTTGAATCACAGACCTGTACCTCTGAAACAAATAATACATTATATGTTAAAAAAAAATTAGGAAATATTAGATAAAGTAAATTTAGCACAAGAAGTATTATCAGAAATAAAGAGGCACATTTCATAATGACAAACGTGTCAATTCATCAGCAAGACATAATAATCCTTAATATGTTTGCACTTAATAATGAGCTTCAAAATGCATGAGGTAAAACCCAAAAGAACTGAATTAGACAAATCCATAATTACGGCTGGAGATTTCAATACTCCTTTCAGTAAATGACAGAAAATTAACAAGAATAAAGAAGATCTGAAAATGTATTTGGAAAAATCTTATTTGGAAATTAACACATTTCCAAGTAATAATTCACTCAAAGAAAAAAGCACAGGTGAAATTAAAAAATAATTTAAACTAATGGAAATGAAAACACAAGACATCAAAGTTTGTAGAGGAAGCTAGATCAGTACACAGGGTGAAATTTTTAATTTTAAATAATATTAGAAAATTGGTCTAAAATCAATGATCTAAATTTCCATATTAAGATTCTGGAAAAATAAGAGCAAACTAAATCAAAAGGAGGAGAATGGGATTAATAAAGATAAAAAGGTAATCAATAAAATATAGAACTGTACAGAAAATCAATGAAACCAATTTTATAGGAACAACCAGAATTCTCGTATTTTGTTGGTAGGAATGTAAAATGGTACAACCTCATTGGGAAGCTTGTTCGGCAACTTTTGTGTTTTTTTGGTTTTATTATGTTCAGTTAGCCACTGTATAGTATATGATTAGTTTTGATGTAGTGTTCAATGATTCATTAGTTAAGTATAACACCCAGTACCCATCACCCTGTTACCCCCTCCCCCCACCCTCCTCCCCTCTGAAACCCCAGATTGTTTCTTGGGGTCCACAGTCATCTCCCTCTCTTGATTTCTGCCCCTTTGGATTTCCTTCCCTTCTGCTATGGTCCTCCGTGCTACTGCTTATGTTCCACATATGAGTGAAACCATACAATAATTGTCTTTCTCTGCTTGACCTACTTCACTTAAGATAATCCCCTCCAGTTCCATCCATGTGGATGTAAATGGTGGGTATTCATCCTTTTTGATGGCTGAGTAATATTCCATTGTGTATATGTACCACATCTTTATCCATTCATCTGTTGAAGGGCATCTTGGCTCTTTCCACAGTTTGGCTATTATGGACATTGCTGCTATGAACATTGGGGTGCACGTGCCCCTTCTTTTCACTACGTCTGTATCTTTGGGGTAAATACCTAGTAGTGCAATTGCTGGGCTGTCAGGTAGCTCTATTCTTAACATCTTGAGGAACTTCCATACTGTTTTCCAGAGTGGCTGTACCAGCTTGCATTCCCACCGGTTTGGCAACTTCTTAAAAGTTAAACTTATACACCTATCCTATGTCCAGTCATTCTATTCCTACATACTTACTCAAGACAATGAAAAGAGTAAGTCCTATGTCCAGTCATTCTATTCTTACATATTTACTCAAGACAAGGAAAAGAGTAAGTCCAGAAAAAGACTTATACAACAATATTCAGAGCAAATTTGTTTATAATAATCAAAACCTGGACACCCAAAGGTCCATCAATAAGTAAACAGGTTTAAAACATATACAAACTGGTCAATAAAAATTAAAATTAGTGAAACATTGTTTCAAAAACATAGAGGAAACATTAAGTTTCAAAAACATAAAGGAATCTCAATTATTATTTCTCAATGAAGCCTGACAAAAGGACGATACAATATTTGACTCTACATTCTTGAACAGCATGTCATTAACTTATAATGACAGCAAGCACATCAGTGGTCACTTGGGACAGGGTAGGGGTAGACTGACCATAAAGGAATGTGTAAGAAACTTTTTAGGGTAATGAAATCTGTATCCTGATTGGGATGGTGGCTACTCTATGTTTGTCAAAAATCATAGGCTTTAAATGGGCATGTTTTATTATATAAAATACTTCATTTCTCTAAATCTCAGCCTATTTTTATAGAACAATACCTCCTAAAGATGTAAGGTTATAATAATACATAGAAAGTTCCCACTGCAATGCCTAACATATGTAAGCATTGCATTCTCCATTAATTCTCCACCTGAACATTTCCTGTTTATAAGGAGCTCTCAAGCTTGCCAAACAATTATGATAGCCACTGTTAGAAAGTTGTTCTTTACCTCCAACTGTCTCTCTTTAATCTATGCCCATTGATCCTAAGTATACGTTCTCTAGAGCAGTGGTTCTCAAACTTAAGCATACATCAGAATTCCCTTAAGAAGTGGTACAACACAAAGACTGCTGAGGCCCATTCCCATAGTTGCTGATTCAGTAGATGTGGAATGAAAATTGAGAGTTTGTGTTTCTTAGTTCCCAAGTGATGCTGGTGCTGGTCCAGGGATTCTACTCTGAGAAGCACTGCTCTAGAGATATGCAAATTATAAGACCGCTCACGCTTCCAAGTGCATTATTCTAAACATTAAAAGACAGTCACCATATTTTTACTTTTCTTTTTTCCAAATTAAAACTTTCTTAGCTCTCCCAAATCTCACTTTCCCCCTGGCATATAAACCCCTCAATGACTGGGACTGCCAACTGGGGCTAACTAGTAGTACCACCAAAACAAACACAGAAAGGCAATCATCATCTCTCTTGACCGTAACAGTTTCCCATAAGCCTAAAATTGTATTAGGCTTTTTGCATGTGTGCAGCTGTGTCTGTCAATTAAACACTTCCTGTTTATTACCAACTGCTGGAAGAACATGTCTCCCTGTTACCCTTACAGAGGTAATTTAACTTATTTAAACTTAAAATCTTTTATTTCACCTTGTTGGTTTAGCTTTTTTTGGAGTCATGCTTCTGTTGCCCCAAATTAAAGAAACTGTTCGGAGCCTGTAATACAAATCTGTCAAGGAAACTTTGTTCCATGAACCAAATTTCTAATGAAAAAATGTTCCAAAGGATAGATCAATGACAGAAAAATGTACTTGTTCAAAGAGTAATTTCTATACTAATATACCTTTGCTGTGAACCACATGACACATGTTCTTCGGAACCTCAAGCATTTAATGAAAACATGCATACTTAGTAGCCAACCTAATACCAAACCTGAATCACTGAAATAAAAGTTGGATTTCTGTAGTTTCAACAGAAATGGTTCCAACAATTTTCTTCATACTCATGCTATTACATTTCACAATTAATCCTTATATTTCCTGCAAAAATACAGTTCTCGAGGGAAAATATGATTAAAGGTAATGACCTGCCAAGCGAAGAGTTATGTGCCTATGGCCAAAAATGGTCCCTTGGAGGGTAGAAAATAATCTCTGCTTCCTCCAACAGATGAGAGAATGAATGGAAAATGAGAGGACCAGCATTGCATACTTGGATAGCAAATTGTGAAAGTACATTAAAATCATGTTTTTGGACTCTAAAGTTTCTAAGTTGTCTCTTTTCAATATACTTCTTTAGTATAAAGGAGCAATTATTTAACTTAAGATTATAATAATAATTCACAGGGGAATTATTACCAAAAAAACCCACAAATAAGACATGAGTAAGTAAAGTTAGTTTATTTTACCTGCAGCTCTTCCAATATAAACTGAATGTAAATGCTGATACTGAGAAATATTAGGAACAATTAAGGATAGACCTCAAGATGTCAAAACATCATGCCTTCCAATCCATCCTCCATGAACTTCTTATAAAGTGCCATAAATTTGGCCACAAATGCTTCCAAGTGATAAATGGCTTTGCTACCGAGCTGTAGACGATGTTCATAGTAAGCGGCCATCTGGGCCACTTCCCCTTTCAGTTGTCCATCACAATTATGTAAAAGTTCTGAGAGAAGGCCCTGAAAAAAGAAACTCGTAATTAAAAAGCAATCACTAAAAAGAAAAAAAGGCTGAATAAGCTTTCTGAAATCTTTAATTCTTTTATATGGAATGGTGGTCTTCATCGAAAAACAAAAAATTATATACCCTTTCTATAATATAAAAATGTGGTAGTTATCAATCATATTCCAAATGCCAACTTGAGGGTGCGAAGATATAAGTACAAAGATGCTTACTGCAGCATTATTAGTTATAATAATAATCTGTAGACAATCTGAAGTTCCACCAACGGGGTCATATTGAAAACCTATGCTATAGTCCTACAATGAAATTCCATTCATCCACTAGGATAAAATAAATCCATACTGTCACGAAACATCATTCATGCTACACTGTTGAATAAAAAAAAACACAGTGCAGAACACAGTGAAGTTTTGTGAAACTACACATATAATGCCATACATACGGGCTTATTTCTTTGTGACTAGAATATAGGTCTGTTCAAAGTGCTTACTTACCCTTGTGGAAATGGAAGGGTGGACCTTCACTTTTTTCTTTTAAATTTAGTATAATATGAATTGTTTCATGTAAGTATTGTCACGTAATTTTAACAAATACAAACAAAAACCCTCCATTTCCTAACATCCAAGTCAATCAACACAGCTGGCTAGGTGGCTAAAAGACCAAACCTAAAGCTGTGCCTCACAAAATCCTACACAGTCCAGACTCGCCAACTTCTTTAATGTCATTCCCCATGTGCACTAAACATCACTGTCTGAAATACAGCTGACTCTTAACATGGGTTTGAACTGTGATTTTTTTTTGATAAGTACAGTACTATAAATGTATTTTCCTTATGATTTCCTTAATATGTTTTCTTCCCTCTAGCTTATTTTATTGTAATAATACAGTGTATAATATATATACACATAATGTGTTAATCAACTGTTTATCAGTAAGGCCTCTGGTCAACAGCAGACCATTTGTAGTTAAATTTGGGGGCAGTTAAAAGTTCTATGCAGATTTCAACTATGCAGGGGGTCAGGGACTTAATTCCCCCACAAGGTTCAAGGGTCACATGTACTTGTTCCCATCTATTTACATAGTTCTCTTCTTTTAATCCTCCAAGTCTCAGTTTAAACATGTCTTCCTCATAGAAGCTGTCACTGACCTTCCACAGCCCAACTTCCATTACTATCATTTCACCTTGTTACTTCCTTTTAGCACTTACAACATTCTGAACCCTTTTGCTTCTTGTCTCCCATTTCACCCCACTAAAATATAAATTGTCTGAAAGCAGGCCCTCCCCAGTCTTCTTCAACACTCCCCCAATGGTGTCTGACACAACAGAGAGGCTCAATAAATATCTGTTGAATTAATGAGCTGGATAGAAAGAAATGACAATGTGTCTCAGTACTGCAAAAGCCCTGTGATCACATACCCAAAGTCCAAATTTTATGGTTATAAATGGTTCAAGATCTGAAATCAGATTACCTTCATTATTATTTCAGGAGGAATACAATGAGTTAGAAGCTCATAAAGTCTTCCACGAACTTCAAGGAGCCTAAATAAAGCAAGATAATTAATATTTTATAATGAAAATAAGACATTTTTTCAAGTTCCTACTGTGCTGTTTTACTTTATGAGTTAAACAAACAATCCAATACAGACATTTTCTTAAATGGCTTATCACACTTAAGATACACATTTAAGCTTTTCCTAATTTCAGTTCATTTCTCTAAAAATGTTCAGAACTCTTTTAAAGTCAGACATTTATATTCAGACATCTAGAAAATGGTCATGAAAAGATTAAACAATCACTAATTATACAAGTAAGAGAGAATATAAGCATGATATGTAATATATGCTACTATCTCAACTGCTAAGTAAAAAGGCAGTGTGGCAAAGAAACAAAGCTGTCCCGTCACAGAAAGGGCAGTGCAAGAGGTCATAGATTAAGCACAGAATCAGGCTACCTAAGTGAATATGAACATTCCAACCTCTGAGCTCTTAATTCTAGGCCCTTCTTATAACAGTTTCAGGAGAGAAAAGGGTAAGGAGGGAAATATACATATGACATTTTAAAACAGAAAGAAAAAAATGAAAAGTAAAATTGTAAATACACATAAAACAATTATCTTTATCTCCCTATATATACTTAGTATCCTAAAGGGAAAATACTGTTCTGAATCTTTACTAAAATAATATCACAGATGTTCCATATTTCAGATCAGAGAAGTGATTCATCAAAGACTTCTTAAAAGTGGAAGTTCAGATCCTTTCCCAGGGACCCTAAGAGTAGGAAGCTGTGCCACAATAAAAGTAAATAAAGTGAAAAAAGAAACTAGCATCTTTTGAGCCCCTGCTATGTGCAAGACACTGTAACAACTTAGTCCTCACACTAGCTTTGAGTGGGGGCATTATCTCCATCTTTTAGATGAAAAAACTAAGGATCAGATAGTTTTAAGTAACCTCACAAAATTGACTATAGCGGAACCATGATTTAAGAACAGATCTGCCTTACTCCCAAATCCATACCCTTCCAATGTCTGTCAAAACATTTATTTAACCCCTTCCCCTGTAAGACGCTCACTACAGTATGCTATTTAGACCTCACAACACCACTCTTTTACTGAAAACAACTTAAGTTCAGAGAGGTTAAGCGTCCATTAACACTCATGTAGTTAGGCAGAATTTTAATTCAAGTCTGACTCCAAAGCCCTTGATCCTTCTTGGCCATGGTAGATCTCAAAAACAAACAAACAAACAGCAACCCTGATTATTAAAAAGTAAGAAACAGACACAAATGACAGATGGTATGAAATTATTTTAACAATTATGCATATAGTTTAATCAGGATCTATTTCCCTCTACAAGTATGCTATAACTATGCTGTGTTCATCTCATGTATGTTACATGCATCTCAGCTTAGTCTGAGTTCATTTCTAGTGTGACTCAGCTTCTTAAAAAAGGACATATTCTACATTTTCTATGTTTGTGTCATTATTTCTTGGGGATTGCAAGTGATAAAGAGTGCAAATTCTTCTGTCAGAGAAACATGGTATTATAGAACTCTCTCTGATTCTCAATTAACTGAATATCTGTGAATAAGCAACAATCTCCCAAAACAGCAGTTTTCTTATCTACAAAATAAAGATGATATAATAGTGTTCTTCATAGGACTGTTCTATAACTTAAATGAGATATCACAGTATTAAGAACCAACATACTAATTGTTCGCTAAATATTCGCTGCTATCCAAATTAGAAAATTATGACTCTTCTAAAACAAATCAGACAAGAATCAAGACTAAGGGGTCAAAAATAATAAACAGTCATTTGGTAATGTGCGAGCCAACAATCAGAATGACACCAGCCCTCCCAGTATTTCTGGTCAACCTGGAAGCTTTTGGGAACTGAACTTTCTTCTTATGTAACACAATGGAATCAATTCCTACAACTGTTAGTCTACACAGGAAATAACAGCACCTCTTCTTAAACAAATTTATTTGAGAGACTCCCAAACTTATGTGGAAAATTGGAAGAAGAGGTAGCAGTAGCTAGAAGAATTAAGCAAAGCAATATCAACTAAAGTCTTAAAAACACAACTAGCAATCGTCAAATATTACATCTTGTACCAAGCTCTCTTAAAAGTAGGAAAGTTCTACAACTACTACCACCAAGTTTTCTTCTTTAAAAATCAAAAAACAAGAAAGTCATCTTCAATGTGGAAATATTTTACAAAAGTAAAAGGCTCCTAAAACAGGCTTTGTTTGAATTTTATCTCCTTAAAGCTGAGATTACTTCACAGCTTAACATTCTACAAAATGGAATGCACACTTTTTCCTAAAGTTAAGGTTTCTTTTCTGAAGAGATTACTTATAATGTTTGGCACTTCATAAAAACTATTAAATTTTTCAACTAAAATAATTGAATTATAGGAATTCAAAGCAGACCCTGAGGAAATACTAAGTACCCATTTATGTGTGATTATCCACCTCCACTAATCTACATAGGAGCCAAAGAGGTCATGTTATAATCCTTTTCAAGCATCTTTAAAAAATTAGAATTCATCAGATATATCCCCCAAGAGGAGAAACATGGTGTATTTTTCTCATGATTGTTTTCATACGAAGCAAGAAGCTTAAACTTCACTGGTTGAACTCAGTCCAGTCTGTCTCCTAAAGCAATCAACTACCTTCTCTTAACTCCAAAGAGGGTTTCTCAGTTCTGACAGGCAGTGAGTAAGAGTAGGAAACTGCACATCAATGAGCCTTAAAAATCTCCAGGCTTCCCAAAGGTAGTGGGCCTTAAGACTGTCACTCTTGATTTGGAGAAGAGGAGATTGCCTTTCTCAATCAAAGCTATCATAAATCAATCAATGGTTGAAGTATTTTCAGTATGGCCCACTACTGAATAATAGACCCACAGAAGTAAATGTAAACAACTGTTCAGCAAATGTGACACAAAACACTTCCTAAATACTGGTGTTGTATACACAGAGTTATTCTTAACAGAGCTTATCATCATGCATGAGCACAAAGTTTTCTAGTTCTCACACCATTATCACACAATCTTGCTCTTCACAACCAAGGCCCAAGTATTCCTAGCAGGGTAATAACAACAGTATTTTCATTACATAAATGAAAAAGTTCAAACTCTACAATGAAGTTACCTGAAGAATCTTAGCTAAAAATCCATATAAGTCTGATTCATAAGCTGATGTCTTTCTAGGACGTGATGCATCAATTACAAAGTTATATATTATTCTTTTCAACATTAGAAAACTAAGCACATTATGTTACATACTAATATTAAGTCATCTGAGACTCTGAAAGGAAAACTAAAACTTCCAAGATTTGTTTTAATTTATGTATAAATTCCATATTTACCTGTCAATAGCTTAATAAAAGCCATGATACTACATACCAGCTATTCTGAAACACTAAATTTACAAAATTAATATCATATCTTTTCTTTGAAAGTTTAGTGTTCAGATACAAGATTTACTGTAATTCTAAATGGCATATTGGTAGTATAAAACAGCCAATCCAAAACTCAGATCATCTGTACTATTTCCATGATGAAACTTTTATGGTTACCTTTGTGGAGTCTGCTGACTGACAATAGCATTGGCGGTCTCCCTGAGATAGACCTCCCAATCTGTTTCAGGGATTTCTTGATCTGCAGTAAAAGGATATCTACATGATAAAAAGAGTACACAATAAATTAAATGGAAGTAAGCTTGTGTCCCAAAATGTTTCCTGCAGTAACAGCCCCTTTCACTCACTGTTGCACTCTGCAGGCTTCACACATAAGTAGGGCTTTTCGGAGATTCCTGCACGACTTCTCTGCCAGTCGATGAGCCAGTTGTGAAGGAAGATTCAGACCTTCCTTCTTGCACACAGTAGATAACACATGACAAATCTACAAACAAAATGTTAACAACAAAACTGGGCAATCTGTCAAACAGCACTTGGATGCAATTCTGCTGATAACATCTTTATAGGACCTTGTTATTTTATTTATTTTTGTCACTCCCTACCCTAACTCACATGTTCCTTTAAGTAGAAAGCCAGGGGTCTAGTCTAGCTGTAAGGAAGGGGCAGCAACTGGCTCTGCAACCAGAGAAAGACCTGGCTTAAATTCCAAGCCTGCCAGCCACCTTGGGGGACCTGTGAGGAAGACACACAGGGCCTCAGGTCTTTTACAAGGAAACCACTCACAGGGCTGCCAAGTAGAGCTGCACAGGCTGAATTCTGCATGACTCAGGGGTATTATTTGCATGCATGAAGATGCCAACGGTGCCCATAGGAGTGGTGTACCCTGGTAGCCCTGCCTTTTTAACTTTATTAAATTTTAACTATATCAAACTATTTTTAACTATCTAAAAATGTTTATAAGTGAAATCTTTAATAAAGGTACTTTACCACTTTGCAACACAAGGTCACAGTCACCTATTATCCCTACTTTGCACAAAATCACCCAAAATCTATTAATAGCAGGAAAGCTGCTTATTGTAAGAAATTTGCATTTTTATTTATAAGTATTAAGAACGATAAAGGAAAAAAACATTAAGTTGTTTCAGACGAATTTTGGTCCCCTAACTAGGAACTAGGTATTCTCACATTAATCTTGCAAAATCTATATCCTCCAACCTCAAGTCATTTCCAAAGCCAATTAAATCAGCTTGAGGTAGAAGACACTAAATAACTAGCCCTTGCCTAGTTTAGTAAAATTCATAATACCTGCTTAAGGTAAAAAATGACTTAAAAAGAACTTCCTAAATACTGATGGCATATACACAGTATTATTCTTAACAGAGCTTACCATCACACTTTCTATATAATCGTATCTGGCATTTACTACTATATATATATATATATATATATATACACACTACATGTATATACTATACATTTACTACTATATATATATATATGTATTGGTTTATGTATCTACTAACAGTTAGCATCCAGGTCATAGATGTTCCTGAAGTACTAATACACTTCACTATGTTTTTACAAAATGAACATGACAGGGATGTACACACAGTACTCACAGAATCTGAAATAATTTCTGAAAAGTTTCACTTGACTTACATCTTCAATCCTGGGAGCAGGCACACGAACTGCCAGGCACCTACTACGAATAGGTGGTATCACTTTAGATGTAGAATTGCAACACAAGATCAGTCTGCAAGTGGACATATACTTTTCCATGGTTCTACGCAAGGCATGCTGAGCATCTTTGGTGAGTTTGTCAACCTCTGTCAATAATACCACTAGTCAAGGAGAAACAAAACAAACTTTAACTTGAATATCTATCTCTTTGTCTTCCTCACTCATTAGAGTGAAATCCTAAGTAAGTTTGATATACTACTCTTTCCTTTGGCAAGGACATATAGAAGTCAAAGGTAGGTGACAATAATTTATTTTTATTTAAAAAAATCCCAAACAAACCTAAGAAACATTACGCTAAATGAAGTTAAAGAGGTTACTTTTTTTGTAAAATTCACTGCAGCATTTATTATATTTATATGAACTAAAAATTACCAAGACAGGGAGATACTGTGCTGCTGCATTTCCCCAAAATATTTTATCACGGGAGCACCCTTATCATTTCTTACCAATCTTATCATTCCTAGAAATATAATTTGGAAAATACTGATGAAAGAGACATAGTCAATAAGCAATAAATACACCTGGTCATGTACACAATAAGATTCCACCTGGCCACAATAAAGGATTGGCTTTAAGGTGTTTTAGGAATAATAAGTAGGTAAGAACTGAATCCAACTATTGTATTTCTCTTTTTCTTTTTTTTTTAAGGATTTTATTTATTTATTTGAGAGAGAGAGAGAATACACACAAGCAGGGGGAGGGGCAGAGGGAGACGCAGACTCCCCATTGAGCAGGGAGCCCAATGAAGGGCTTCATCCCAGGACGCCGGGATCATGACCTGAGCCAAAGGCAGAGGCTTAAGCAACTGAGCCACCCAGGCGCCCCTGTATTTTTCATCATACTAAGTTATTTCTAGAAGATGGTAGTGGTAGCAGTGGAGATCTGAACCTCCCCCATAAAAACAGATTCCAAGACCAAAGACTCATCGATAACATTTATATCAAAACAAAGTGGCAGGTTTTACCTAAAAACCCCGAATATGAGCAAGTGAGAACAAGGAACTATGTGTGGGAGGAAGTAGAGGGGGTGTACTAGGTTTTTACAGCCTTGAGTACAGAACCCCAAATCGCCCACAAGAGCACACTGTGAAATATAATGGGCCAATCTGAAAACAACACCTACGGGGTTCAATTTATGGGTTAGAGCAAAGGAACCTGGATGCAACAAGGTTTGACAGAGCAGTAAACTGAAAACAACAAAATGAAGCTTCCTTCCAAGACAATCCTTCACAATGAGGAGAAATTCTGGAGATAGAAATCCAAATGGAACAGAACAGGGAAAACAGAAATAAAGAGATTGATCCCAAAATCTAACAAAGATAGCACTTAACAAAGTATTACAAACCAAATGATATAAAATAAGTCCTTGGTAGGCAGAAAACAGCAGCATATTTAAAAAATTAACACATCATGACCAAGTGAGCTTTATTCTAGAAATACAAAGCAGTTTCACTAGAAGACCCAATATAATCTACGATACCAAAACAGCGAAGAAGAAAAATCATAAAACCTTATTCATGGATGCAGAAGCAGCATTTGAAAAAATTTAACACACATTTATGTTAGAAACACTCAAAATATGAATTGATGCTTACTTTCTTATTATGATCAAATAGATACACCTCAGGCCCAAAATCCAGCAACTAAATAACTAAATGGGGAAACTCTAAGGCCCCCATCCAAAGTCATGACAAGGACATCCACTATCTTTAGTACTATTAAACACTGTATTGGAGGTGTTGGCAAACATAATTAGGTTAGAGAAAGTGTTCAAAGCCATACAAATTGGAAAGAAGGGGAAAAATTATCTATTCACAGATGATATAAATATATATATATATCTGAAAATTCAAAAGAAACAATGGAAAGGCTACTACAAAAAGAATGTAATAACATAGTAAGATATAGAATTAAGACACAAACGCCAATAGCTGTCACATATGTACACAAAGGTTAGAAAATATGACTCCATTTATAGTGGCAAAAAATAAATAGATAAGGAGCGCCTGGGTGGCTCAGTTAAGCGGCCAACTCTTGATTTCAGCTCAGGTCATGATCTCAGGGTGGTGGGACTGAGCCCTGAGAATAGGCTCCACACTGAGGCTCCATGCTCAGCGGGGAGTCAGCTTGGAGATTCTCTCCCTCTGCCCCTCCCCACACTCACTCTTTATCTCTCTCTCTCTCAAATGAAGGAATTAAAAAAAAAAAGTAAACTTATTCTGAAATACAGTGAACTAAGAAGAAATAGGCTGAAATATGCACAGGCAATTCACAAAACAGTAAAAAAAACAACAAAAGAAAAACTTATCACACTAACTACAAAAAAACAATTTTCTCCACTCAAACTAAGATTAAAAATAATTAACCACAAAAAAAATAATAAATAAATAATAAATAATTAACCACAGTGGTGATAAATGTCAGGGAATAAAGGGCACTCCCAAATATTTCTGGTGGTAGGAAAAGACTATCTTTCAAATGCAGAATTTGACAAAATATAGCAAAAGTATTAAACGCTGGCATATTTATCATCACAAAATCTTCTATGAGAATGTACACATATATATGCATATAATACTGGAAGGTAATGACAAAGTAATTGTCTCTGGAAAGCAAAATTATAGCTGATTTTCTTCTAAATATTTGATAATGAACATATAACTTTAGTCCCAGGAACAGTTATTTTTAAATGTTATTTCTTGTTTTAAATAAAGTGTTTTTTCATTATTCATCTAGTTCTAAAATAACAAACAGGTAGCTCAAATAGTCCTCTTTCCACCAAAATTCAATTCCATTAGGCTATACACTTTCATGAGCACAGAGATCATGCCTCTCTTATTCACTTCTTCTTTTAAAGATTTTTATTTATTTATTTGACAAAGAGAGACGCAGTGAGAGAGGGAACACAAGCAGGGGGAGTGGGAGAAGCAGGCTTCCCGTGGAGCAGGAAGTCTGATGCAGGACTCAATCCCAGGACCCCGGGATCATGACCTGAGCCAAAGGCAGACGCTTAACGACTGAGCCACCCAGGCGCCCCTCTCTTATTCACTTCTATATCCAAAAATAAGGGAGCATATGTTTGGCATAGAACAGGATATTAATAAATATTTGCTAAATAGATGGAATTTATGTTTCCCACTACATTTTCTCTTATACTCACTGCATACAATTTCAGTGTCTGCCTTAAATCTGTTTATCACATACCTTTAAAATCTCTTTGAGAGTTTGTTTCAAGTTGCTGTGACTGTGCCACTGTTTTCAACATCTCCTGAATTACTACCCGGTCACTATTTCCAGCATCACTATACAAAACAAAAATAATGGTAAATATAGATGTAACTATTTAGAAAATATTATGCCCTTATTCTTAATCTGTTATTGTAAGAAAAACATTGAAGATTTTAAATTTTAATCAAAATTATTCACACCTAATTACATTCACAAAACTTTCAAAGTGAAATATTCTAGGGGTCATTAAAATACAATATTCTAATATTCAATTACAGTTTGATAAGTATCACTGAAAACAAAAGACATGTTCTTATATTAAGTTTACTGTAACTTAAAAAGAGCAATACTAATCCTTAAGTATCTTAATTATCTGCAGTTACTCAAAATGTAAAAATAACTCTTGAAACAGAAATTTAATCTCCATCCTTCTTCTCCATCCCCCAAATAGTAAAGGTCTGAAAGAGAACAAGCCTAGACAGGTCTGTTCCCAACAGTAGCATGGAGCTGATTCAGGGTCTTAGCAAGAGGATGGGACAAGCAAATGGAATTTAAGATAGTCAGAACTCTGTAAGCTGTTGACTTATAAGCATTATCTGTCATTTACACTCGCATTATTGCTTTGGTACTTAAGTCATGCAACTCACAAACCAACGTTAAGTCACCTAGTTAATTTAGGCTGCCAATTTCAAACACCTGAAAAAAATCAGCTCAATCTCCAATTGACTATTCTTGCTACAGAGGAACTCACAATGAGAAACAGGGCAAAGCAATCAGCTTTAGTTTACTTTCCTAAACAGCCATCACATCTGTCTCAATTCACTATTAGATCAATACATCTAGAGTGTCTCTTTTATGATCATTTCCTAGTCAAGAATCCAAAACATTTCCCTTGTGGCTATGGAATTAACACTTTCTTCTAATTTTCTGATAAGACCCTTTCCCACCAATCTTAGTTCTCTTAATTTTCTTGGACCTACCTGGGGAAAATAACAACACCTGTTAGGGATGTTTTGAGGACTAAATATAATCCATGTAAAGCTTCTCACACAGTGCCTACTACTGAATACACAGTAGCTTATAACTATATTCTTCCTGATCCATTCAGTCTTAAAATGGATGTTCATCCTCATCTCTGTTCCACTGCCAAAAAAGGTTGCCTTTGCCTGAAGATGTCCTTGATTCTGTACTCCTTAAAGACATTATCAGGCCCCAGACAACCCTGAAGCTTCACCCAACTTTGTTCCCAATACAATCACTTCTACACTATTAAGCAGTACTGCATGAGTTTTCAATGTGCCTCCCAACAGGATCCTAATCTTATTTAGTCATGATAAATAATACAGACATTGGTTGTTAGACTATTATAACATACTCTAATCAAGAAACTGAAACAAAGGAGTGGCAAAAAAAAGATCTAATAACCCTAATTCACATTCTAAAATATTCACTCCAGACATTACAAACTTTTTCAACAAACGTTGCTCATCAGTTCTGAATTAGTCAATATAACAAAAATTTAATGACTATGAAATGTACTGTGTATAAAACACTGAGCTCTGTAGAGCAAGAAAATTTTAATTATTAAAATTATTGGACTCAGGGGTCAAAGAGAAAAGGGGAAGTGGAAAGGTTCTAGGCTCCCTATTTCACACTGAGCAGCATTACTTTTATCTGGGTATATATTGTGCTTCCTTCCATACATGATTCTATTTCAAGAATGGGTTCTACTCTTTAAAAAAAAAAAAGGCTTAATTTCTATATAGTAGAAATTACTATACCTTACCTGGGATTAACTTCAAGGTGATAATTGCTTGCAATAGTGCTAATTTCAATTTTCTTTTTAGATGGAGTCTATGGACAAAGAAAATAGATGTTTTTAAAGTTTATTTATTGGCCATTTCTCTTTTCTGTATTTGTTTTTTAAAAATAAACAATTTATGCTTTATAAAAACAAAAACTTTAGATACAATTAATATTTTAACTTCATTAATCCCATTCTTTTCTCTATGTGCAAATAAACGTTTCTATGTAACATGGGTCACATCACACATCCTGTTTTTATTATGATTATCTCTTCCCTCTACTTCCAGAATTCTACAAACCATTCCATTATGAGATCATCACTGTAAATGGTCTGCATATGTCCGTTCACAGACTTTACTGTAACAACTTATGAACTTGTGTGTGTATATATATGTAAATATACTTTTACATATTTTATGTATTTTTATATATTTCTATAGAGCGTGTTTCTTGTAAAAAAGGGAGTTATAAAAAGAGAGGCAATCGTATCTATTTCTGTTTTACTTTTCCTAGTTAACAATACATCTAGGCAATTACCCTCCGATACTGATATAGGATAGTTGCATATCAACCTGTAACTTGGATGTCCCCAAGCAGTTATACGGGTGGGTGTTTTGTTTCCTGCTTTTTGACATCTCAAACAATCCCACAATTAACATCCTTCTACAAATGTCTAACGCACTGACTTCATTTCTATGTAACATATTCCCAATAAAGGATTTGCTGGATTGAAGGGAATATATTTTCTCACGTTTTATGTGTATGTGTGTTTATGTATAACTGGCCTGTTTTCAAAAAAAATCTAACAAATCAGTTTTCCACTGGTAACAAATACTCTTCCCCAACATTCCCCTTCTGCAGGTTTTATATAATGTCCTCAATTTCTGCCAATTTCATAACAGACTCACGGCTTCTCTTCAACTATCACAAACGTCAAACATCTTTACATATGTTATTGGTTGCTTATATTTCTTTCTTGAGACTCTTTTATTCAGTTTTCTACCAGGTTGTCTTTCCATTGTCAATCTGTAAAATCTTTTCTTCTAATATGTTCCTTTCAAATATTTTTTGACCTTTTATTTTTCTGATTTTACATACATTATCTTGTCATACAAACTTGTAAATTTCATATACATACAAGCACATTTTTTCTATCACTTCCATGTTTTTATTAAGTTATTAAAAAAAATAGGTATTCCCGACCACAGGCTGTTCATTTAATCTAAGAAATTAGCATTTCATTTTAATATTTAAGGCTTTAATTCATATGGAATTCATCTTTACAAATCATGAATCAGAGGGATTCAACTTTATTTTCTTCAGGTTAGATAACCAGTTATGCTGGCACATCTTGCTGACTCATGTTTTTAATACTGATTTGAAATAGCTACCATCATATTTTGGGTCTCTCTAACAAGTTCCACTGATTCAATTCTCTATTCCCAAGCCAAAACAATATTGTTTTGATTATAATAGCCCTACAATAGGATTTAATATCTCATAACACAAGTCCCACTTCACAAATCTTTTTCGTAATTACTTTAGTCTCAGAAATGTATTCTTCCATATGTACTTTAAGATCATTTCGTACAACTAAAATAACATGTTGGATTTTACTTGTAATTTCATTGAAATTTATACTGTAACTTGGGTAGAACAGGTATTTCATTTTATTTTATTTTTTTTTTGTAGAACAGGTATTTTAAAGTATTAAGCCTCTGAGAACTTGCTGCATCTTTCCATTTGATCAACTCTTGTTTTTTGTCCTTTTATAAAATAGTTTTCTTTCCACAAATCTCATCCTTTTCTTGTTAAATTTGTTCCTGCATACTTTTTAAGAATTCCCATCAGGGTGTAACACCAGCACCTCAAACTCAATGTGTCTAAATACAAGCTCATCAACATTAACCTAAAATCCATTTGTCTTCAGAGCACCTGGGTGGCTCAATCCTTAAGCATCTGCCTTCAGCTCAGGTCATGATTCCAAGGTCCTGGGATTTAGGCCTGCATCGGGCTCCCTGATTGGTGGGAAGCCTGCTTCTCTCTCTCCCACTCCCTGCGCCTGTGTTCCCACTCTCGCTGTCTCTCTCTCTCTCAAGTAAATAAATAAAATCTTTCAAAAAAAAAAATCTATTTGTAAAGATTCCATTAATAGCACTACTTACCATCCAGTCACTGATACAATTTTTCAGTGCCTAGTATGTACAAGATGCTATACCAGGGCCTATGAAGGATATAAAAATGAATAGGACATGTTCCCTATATAACTTCAAAACAAACACAATCTTGTCAAAATAAAAAAAAGGTATGAAAAACTATAATCAAGGCCAAACAAAGTACTCTAAAAAGTGTAAACTATGGATGGTAGAAGGAAAAATTAATTCTAAAGGGATTGGGGGGCACAACGAGAGGAGGTATTTCAGCTAAATCTTAAACACTGTCTATAAGGAGAGTATGAAAATGCACTGCATGGTAGGAGGCTGGAAAGCTCAGCCAAGGGCAAGATCATGGGAATTCTCTGAACATCCCAGAACCTCATGCCTCCTTTTCTAATCAGTCAGCTGCTCCGTCTCTATCAGGTTGCCTGATTCCATATTCAAAATTTTTTCTCAAAATCATTCCCTTCCCAAACCCACTATTGCTCTCAGGACAATGAATTCCAGAGACTTGAGTTCCCGTTCCAGCTGAGGTACTGATTCACTAGATAATCGAAAAGGAATCCCACCACCTACATTTTACTCAAAATCTCCTGTTACTCATATTTTCTAACATAACTGACTTTGATCTGGCTTTAATAGTTAGGTCTATACAACAGTAGCTCTCAATCCTGTGTACCTGGGTTATCTGTGAAATTCTTAAACACACATTGGGCAACAATGGCTGGGACCACAGAAATATATATGATAAGGACTGAAAATCCCTGCTATAAATATTTGGAGGCCTCAAAGTAAAATGCTTACTGTGATGGTCTGATGTTCAATTCTTAATTTTTCCACTCCAACACCATAAAGTTCACGTAAAATACACATAATTCTTGTCTTTTTTCCAGCACCTGATGGTCCATACACTAAGAGATGAGGAAAATCACCACACTGCACCTGGTTAAAAAAAAAAAAAAAGAGGCATTTTTCCCTGGTCAAATGACTACTGTAGGTAGAATTAAACTACTTTTAAGGTATCAAATATTTTGTGTCTCCATCTCTGAGGTGGAGATATTTAAAAATATATGAGTATATATACACAGAGATTTTTAAAATTAACTGAAATGTTGATTATTCCCCTGGCATTATTTTATATAATTACCAAGCACAGTACATGCAGGATACACCACCATGTGCTAGAAAGCAAAAACTTCCAAACCAAGTCTGTTAAAATCTCCTAGAGAACTTTTTAAAATAAAAGACTAATTAATTACTGGACTCCATCCATGAGATTATGATTCAACAACTCTAAGATTGATGCCTGTCTTAATTTGGGCTTCTATAGTCCTTCTGATAAGAACTGAGTGTATTTGGTTTATTTGGGGTGAGAGGTAAAGGAAAACTTTGTAGGGGAATAGGGAAGCAAAGCAAGGTCAGGGAGGCAGCCAATGAGTGCATTATCTGCTTAAATATCACTGGGCATCTGGGGTTTAATTCTGCTGGGGATACTCTTGAAGCCAGTGTGGAAAAAAACACGACAGCGTTAACCCATCCAAGAGAGGGGGAAGCTGCAGCATGATATGCTATTTCTCATCAGTCCTTTGATGAAGCTTGCTTGGGAAAGTGGCTGGAATTAAGGGAGGGCATTAATTCCCAGGCATCGGGTCTGCTTAGGGGTGTCCATAAAAGAAAGCCTTCAGGAAGCACGGATCCAGGAAGCTGGAAGTCAGTCTGTGTGCACTTACAAGTTAAGAGCAATGGGATGGAGTAGAGCACTGACAGTACTGCAAAAGACTACAAGACTGTGTGCACTTAAAAAGCTTCCCAGGTGACTTTCATGATCCGTCAGGTTTGGGAAAGAGTGTTTTTTTTTTTTTTTTTAAAGATTTTGTTTATTTATTTGAGAGAGAGAGAGAGCACGAGAGGGAAGAGAGTCAGAGGGAGAAGCAGACTCCCCACCGAGCAGGGAGCCCGGTGCAAGACTTGATCCCAGGACTCCAGGATCATGACCTGAGCCGAAGGCAGTCGCTCAACCGACTGAGCCACCCAGGCGCCCGAGTGCTATGAAGGGTATAAAAATGATGAAAACACAAACCATAACTTCAAGGCCATAAAATCTTGTGGAGCAAAAGCTTCTACGTAAGCATTACAGGAAAAATGAAATAAGTACCTTAACAGAAGTCATTGCAATAAATCTTAATACTTTGTAAACTGATCTCTGGCACTGAAAAAAAAGTTTCAAGGAAAGGAACTATTTACCCCACACAGTGCATGGAAAATAGCAAGTGCTTCACAAATACTTGTTGCCTCTGCTTTTTAAACTCAATCTAGCCAAAATAAAGGGTATGCTTTAAAGACTTCATAGTTTCATTAAGTTGTAGATTCAACACTAAAATGGGTGGACATTTTTTAAAAGCAAATCTATTACACACAAGACCAGAATATTAAATTTTTGTCCAAAATATTTACTCCAAATTCTGTACAACAAAAAGATGGCCATAGAATATAAAATGTATCCTATAGCTAAGAAAATCAAAGTGAAAGCTATTCTGAGAAAACACAATTTGTCTAAACATGAAGTATATAGCTGTAAATTTATTTTAAGTTAGTATAGACAGAATACCATCAAAAAAGAAAAAAGCCCTCAATCTCACATTATCAATTTTTCTAATGATTTTCATATAAGAATGGAGGTTTTTATTATTTCTCATTTTTAAAAAATACTTAACAGAGAGTACCTGTAACTCTGAAAGAAGGTGGGTGTTGAAACTGAGCTGAGCAAAACACTTTCATTAGCATACAGTACTATTAGATTCTTAAAAGGACTGGATAAATAGCTTCCAGACACTAGATTTTTCTCAAGACCCTTCTTCCCTCTACATTTCCTGAAAGATTCAGTTTGCTTTTCAGAAAACATTGCCATTAGACACTTTTACCAACTACAACACGAAAACACCCATCAGGTTGGAGAAAAGGAAAAAAAAAATCTTCCATGAGGAATTAAACTCAAGGACGACCTAATACAACTTAATTTATAATTAGAAATGACCTCCAAAATTAATAAATACCTTCCTTTTTGTAAATAAGGGCATTGACACAAAAAATTTTAAACAAACCTCTGAAAAAGTAGTCAGATGATGTCAGTTCTCTGCTCAAGACCTTCCAACGGCTCCCTATCTCACCCTATAAGGATTTCCTGGATCTGCACCTCCCCCGCCCCGCCACACACCCCCGCCCCATTTCCTACTAACCCCCGCCGGCCTACTATTATCCAGCTACAGTGGCGTTCTTGCGGTTCCTAGAACAAGCCGGGCACACTCCTGCCTCAAGGAATTTGCACTTGCTGTTCTCTTTACCTGTTCCACTCCTCCCTCATATTTCTCCTGGAGAATTTCCCATTTAAGGTCTTAGCTCAGAGGACAGTTCTCAGGAAGGCCTTCCATGTTTCCAAGCACTACCTCGCCCTCCACACTCCTTCCCCCTTCCGTTTCATTTTTCACCACAGCACTCAACACCTCCTGCAGAGGGTGGACGATGCACCACTCCCCAGCGGAGCGAAACTCCCAAGCTGAGGCCTACCCCCGCGCCCCGCCCCCCCCCCAGCTCCGTCCCGCAGACTCACCAGGTTGCGCAGCTGGGCCGCTTGCTCCTTGTGATAGTCCAGCCGTCCCAAGGAGCAGGGCCGGTATTTGTCCACCCAGAGGCTCATGCCTGCTCGAATTCCCGGGGTCAGACGCTTGAAAGTCCCGCGCGCGGGCACTCTCCCCGTCCGGACGCGGAGACGAGTTCTCCCGCGAATTCCAAATCTCGTGACGTCACTACCGGCCCGGTGGCGTACGCGACTTAAGATCTACAGACTACGGAAGCTGGGTGGGGACTGTATTAGCCGCAGTGTTGGTGCCCCCCCCAGTCATTTATGTTCATTGTTTATGTAATCATTTTTGTTGTTCCCACCCTCCATGATAGTCCAGAGATCACTAAACAAAATTGGAAATTTGGCTCTAATACTTCCGGTTTCAAATGCAGGTACCTCAAAGAATTTCGTTCGCTTATTCATTCATTCACTCGTTCGTTCTGCAGAAACCTTCAAAATATCTACTGTGTTGAGCTCTGTTCTTGGCACTAGAATATATACGACTTGGGGCATTTCTCACTGGGCAGGCTCTCAATAAACTTTTTTAAAATAAATTGCTAAAAATAAAATCTAATCTTCATTATCTTTCCTTACTTCCATTCTTCAAAGGTCTTACTGGGTTGAAAGCAAGAGAATCAAAAGGTCATGAAAAACTGCAGAACTGTGGCCTGTAGGAGAGACGATATGAGGTTAGTATGCTATACTACGTCCAGAATGTTTGAACACCCTTCTGACTAAAATAAGAATAATATGAAATCCTTGGGAAAATATTCAGCATATCAAGCCTTTATAAAACTTGAATTGTGCCCCTCAAACTGCACCTCTCAAATGCACTTTTCTAGTTGTGCATAAAATTAATTCCTTATTTAAGTTATGGTCTTATTTTATATATTGTTCAGAAGCCTGTCATTGGATCTCAAGTTCTTACAGGACAGGCATTTATTTCAGAATATGTTTTATGACCTATCATTCTTTTATTAAACAAGAATTTATTGTGCTTTATGAGTCATCATATTTGCTGAGTTATTCCTATGGGCAAGATATTATTGAGCACAATCAACAACACCAAGAACTATAAGATATAGTCCCTATTCTCAAGAAACTTTCTGAAACAAGCCTGGGGGACTTCTACCTCACGACCTTTGCACTTCAGTTTCCTCTTCCTGGACCACTTCTGTCCAAGTGTCAATAGAGCTGAGTCCCTCACTTCTTTCAGTGTGTTTGCTCAAAGTCATCTCTTCAATGAGGCCTCCCTAGCCCTGTTTAATACTATAAAACCTTCCACATTCCCTATGCTATTCCCCTGTTGAATTGGAATGGAGGGGGAAAATGTTTGAAATTAGAAGGTAAAGAAAATCGGAAGCAAAGGTGTTGAGTTGTTATCTATGTGGGTAATGGAATCCTGAAAAAAATAATAATGGAAATAATTATTCAGAGAAAGAAAGTGAACCAGGTACTATAATGATCAATGAATTGACAATGACCCTGAGCATGACAGACAACTTCTACTACTATGAAAGGTAGGAGAGAATGGAGTCTGAAGATATGTAGACATGTATTTCAAAGTTGCCAGAGGTTCCAAGGAAGGAGAAATTGGTGTGGAGGGGACAATAATACATAAGAAAGACCCTAGCTCACCTAGGGTTGTTGGATTACACAAATAAAAATATAGGAAGCCTGGTTAAAGTTGAATTTCAGATAACTTTTTAGAATTACCACAAATAATATTTAGTATTACTAAATATTACTGTAAACATTGCATGGGCATACCTATACAAAAAATATTCATTGTTTATCTGAAATTACAATCTAATTGGATGTCCTGTATTTTATCTGGCAATCCTACTCCAGACTCTTGAATATATGGAAAGTGAGAGATGGCTGCAGAGGAGAATAGGATCCTCAGGGGAGAGTCAGAAAATGAAAGAGGTGTTCAGAGAAGTGGTTATGCATATTAAGCAGTGGCCAGCAAACAATAGCTCCAATCACTGGATGACTCAGCTTCCTCAGCCCTAAAATGGGGTTGATGAAACCTGCTTTACACAGTTCATTTGAGGATTAAGTAAGGTAATGTAAGCAGCAACCACAAAGAAGGTACTCAATAATTAATGGTTATGTTTGATGGAGAAAAATATTCATAGTGATACAGGATGAGGGGGCATGAATACAGAGATGATTAAGAACACACCAAGGTTAAATTTGCACTGAGCTCATCCAAACAAAAATGATAAAGCTATCATCTTGTACCTGTAACTCAGGGCTAGGCAAAACCAACCTAAACTTCTAAAGACCCTTAAGGATTGATCTGCTCCTAACCCTTGGCAGTTTATCCCAATGTACCTCTCTTGGGTAAAACTATAATCAGTTCTTGCCAGAATTAGGACTAAGGTCTTTCTATAGGCTGGATCTAATTTGGCGTCTTTAAAGAGAAGTAACGAAGCAGATATGTCACCCTCTCAAGAGGCCTAGAGACTAGTCAAAGGGTGTATGTAATTTTACTTCCTCTTAAAAAAATATTATCACTTCGGCTTCACATTTTTCTCTTTCATATGTCTGAGAAGATTTGGACCTTCCTTTACAGAGAGCATACCCAGCAAATTTTGCTGCATCCTTGCTTCTATTTTAATGTGAGGGAGTGTTCTGGTTCTTTTTTCTTACAATTTATTCTTTGAAATTGTCAGTGATAGTGTCCAGTTATAATTCCTTTTCTCCATTCGGAGAAGGACCAATGGGCAGATCCCTCTCTGCACTTTAGAAATAGCATTAAATAGTAAGCTGGAAAGAATTTTGAACAGAGATTTCTCACAGAACCTCACATAATGTCACATTTTTTGGTGGCAATAATATGAAATTTATCTTTCTAAAATAAGTAAGTATAGATTTTGCTGCACGTAACTTGAGAACAATGGTTTAAAACTCCGAATGAGAGAGAAGAGAGGTAAAATTCATTTTAAAATTGTGGCAGAGCCAATGCTCTGTGTTCACCAAATCTCCTGATCTTCCTGGGTACACGGGTAATTTTCCCAAGCTTCCTTGGTAGTTAGTAGAATCACGTGACTCCACAGGACTCTGTAACACCCTGCATCCAAACAAGAGTCAGAGCACAAGATTCAGATCTGTGCTGGGTGAAAGGGACCTGAGGGTAGAGGCAGCTGATACCATGTGGTGCTTTTATATTCCATCTGACAAGTCTTGTTACTTATGTTTTTATACATATTTATATCTGTGTATCCACAATCTATATCAAGATATAGAACATTTCCACCACGCTTAAAAGCTCTCTCATGCCCCTTGCCATTCAATACATCCCCCAGAGTAGCCACAATTCTAAATTCTATCATCATATATTATTTTCTCTATTCTTAATCTTCATGTAAATGAAATCATATAGTACTTTTTCTTTTGTGCCTGGGTTCTTTTGCTCATCATAGATCTGCAAAATTCATCCATTTATTATATGTGGTAATAGGTTGTTCGTCTTTTATTGCTGTGTAGGATTCCATTGCATCAATATCAGGACAAGCTTCATGGGAATGTCACGTGGGCAGTGTCACATAGCCTCCTGTTTGCTTTAATGCTCTGCTGTTGACATCTTGAAATTCTTAATCATTTCTTAGCAACCTGCATTTTCATAATGCACTCTAAAATTGCCCTTAAATTATGTAACCAGACCTGATCAATACAGCTCAATTTATTATTTGTTGTATTGTTGATGGACATTTGTTGTATTGTTGATAGAAACATTTGTGTTTCCATGTTTTGTCTAGTAAGAATAATTTTGTTGAATATTCTTGTATATATATATTTTTAAAGATTTTATTTATTTATTTATTTATTTATTTGACAGAGAGAGAGCACAAGCAGAGACAGTGGCAGGTAGAGGCAGAGGGAGAAGCAGGCTCCCCAAGGAGCAGGGAGCCTGATGAGGGGCTTGATCCCAGGACCCTGGGATCATGACCTGAGCCAAAGGCAGACGCTTAACCAACTGAGCCACCCAGGCACCCCATATTCTTGTATATATTTTTGAGACAGGTACTAATTTCCATTGGATATATACATCTAGGAAAGACATTCCTAGGTGATAAGGCAAGCATATATTTAGCTTTAGTAAATACTGACGAGAGTTTTCCAAAATACTTCACCGATTTACATATCCATCAGCAAAAACTGAAAGTTAGATGTTTCCCATCTTCCTCAACAAGTTTCTTCTTTTATTGTGGTCAATATTCATAACATAACATGTATCATTTGAGCACTTTTTAAGTGTATAGTTCATTATCATTAAGCACATTCACATTGTTGTGCAACCATTGCCACCATCCATCTCCAGAACTTTCCATCCTGCCAAACTAGAACTCCACACCTATTAAACAGTAACTCCCCATACTGGTAAACCGCAGGCCCTGGAAACCACCATTCTTTCTCTTCTCTATGAGTTTGACAATTCTAGGTACCTTATGGAAGTGGAATCATATAATATTTGTCCTTTTGTGTCTGGCTTATTTCACTCAACCATATTATCTTTAGGGTTCATCTGTATTGTAGCATGTAACAGATTTTTATTCTTTTTAAGGCTGAATAATATTCCGTTGTAAGTTTATACCATACTTTGTTCCTCCATTTATCCATCAATAGATATTTGGATTGTCTCCATCTTTTGGCCTTTGTGAATAATGCTGCCAGGAACATTTGTATACAAATATCTACTTAGGCTCCTGCTTTCAGTTCTTTGGGGTACATACCCAGAAATATAAGTATATTACAGGTAATTCTATGTTTGATTTTTTGAGTAACAACAGAAAACAACTGTTTTCTATGGTAGCTGTACAATTTTACATTCCCACCAATAATGCACAGGGGTTACAGTTTCTCCACATCCTCACCAACCAGCAAGCTTTTTAATTTTAGCCATTCTGGTGGGTTTGTAGAGAAATCTCATCATGGTTTTAATTATCCTAATAATGAATGATGTTGAGAATCTTATCATGTGTATTGGTGATCAGAATATTCTCTTGTAAAGCGCCTATTCAAATTTTTTTGCCAATTTTTTGGTCTCGTATTGATTTGTTTTTCAAACATATGCATTGTAATTACCTCTTTCCTATGTGTGGTTTGGCTTTGAACTCTCCTGATGGTTTATCTTGATGAACAGAAATTCTTAATTTTAACGTAGTCCAGTGCATACTGTTTTAAAAAAATCTT